ATTTGAGTTAATTTTATAGTGTTTGACAGCGACCTATGAGTGGTTTTCTGTAGGCTAGGAACATAACTTAGCTTCGTGTGAGCACAAATACTATAATGGGTAGGGATGGGTGTTTTAAGCAAAAAATTACAAGAAAAAAGCATGCTTTGCATACTAAAATTTGCAAACTTGTAAAAATGTGAAGTAGGTAAATAGGAACAGATTCAAATTTTTGCGTTACAGGCACCTCTAATGTGCCTAATTTCTCTACCCATGGTTTTGTCATTCCCTCGATAAATACAAGACATCAACGGCACAATGCTCTGAACACCTTACATTTAGGGCATCACAAATCCCTTACAGCGTGAGAGTAAATGTACAGACCTTGCCATACGATTTGGTGAGCAATTGAATCATGGAATGCAGTTCCAAGGCGGAATTACCATAGAGACCTTCAAATAGTGTCAGTGATCTACAATCGGCAAAGGAGTCTTAGTCTTTTATAAGAAAGGGGCACTTTGTTAAACCCTAGAGGCGTCCGATTTCCATAAACAAGCTTTCTATAGACAAGCAGATTAAGTCATCATAAATCTAGAAAAATTTTCCTATTTTTTTTATTCTTCACTTCCATTTCCCCTTCTATTCCTCCTTTAAAATCTATGCTCTCTCATAGCTGTAAGGATTCCGGCTGCAACTACCTCAGCTAGAGTGAGTTTGACATAAATTTGTGTGATTAAGGACACAAATCTGGAGGCACTAGTCGGATATATTCCGCAAATGATAATCAGGAATGCACACTAGCAAAGGAGGGGTTACAAAACCCTTGTAAGTCTTGCAGGATTGTTAAAAGGTCAAATGCTGAATGTCCCTCACAATCGCGACGGCAGTGTGGACAAAAGAGGGCCTTCAGACCTAGCAGCCGGATTAAAATACACTGCATTTTCTTAAGCAAGCCGATTTTTGCTAAAAAGCTAGAATCCATAAGGCAAGTTGAGCAGTGGTGGAAAAGGGAAATCGTTAACTTTTAACGCCATAACAGGTATTACTAACGCCAAGGTGTAGTTTGCCAAAACCTGACTTCTCCCATCCATCCGCGTAATTCAGCAAATTACGATTGATACCCTGTCTTTAATTACGCGTAATACGAACATTATCATAACATGTCTTTTCTTTGTACAAATGCAACTTTTAAAGAATGCCTCATAACTTTAAATTATTGCTTGTATCATTTAAACATGTACGAGGTGTTTCCTTACGAGGTATTTGTTACAAAAAGTAGTTTTACTGCGACCTATGCTACGATCAGTGACAGTTTGGAGCGTAGACCTTTGGACTTGAGCCGATGTGTCTCAGGGAGGGTGAGTAAGGAGATGAGTAAATAAATCGGATGTGACGATGATGGACGTTGAAGGGTTGGAAGTCTTCTTTACCTCATTGTTGAACGTTACACCCAGTGGCCACATTGGTTTAAGATGGTCAAGCTCGGCTTTGAGAGAAAAAAGACGGTGACTAATGCAGAAGAAGTGAAGAAGATCGTTAAAGTTGTGGACTCTCTGCGAATCTTTTCCTGACTGTGGCAAGTAGACAGGCAGAAAAATAATTGGCATTTTGAATCAGTATTGACTGAGACAGAATTATAGGCTACTCACACGCACTATTTCTCTTCTCTGCCGGTCGACATAGATCTGCCTAGCCATTTTGGGTGATAGACATTTGAATAAGTTAAGGAGCTAGAGGTCTTGACGAGAGATAATTTGAAATTAACAGATCATTCAAAATTCAGAGTAAAGGCACGCCCGATTTTGCAAGAAAAATGTCTGTTGAACATCATTTGGTGGTGTCGGTGTTCCGTTGTGAAAATACAACTACTAGGCTGGCTGTTCTATAGGATTAGTTTGCTCAAGACACCGCATTGCGTTAAGAATTGCGCATAATCTAAATATTTGAGTCTTTTTTCCAGCTAATGCGATCCAGATCCAATGGGATCCACGTCAATGACACCCACAGTAATACATCGAGTAGCAGATCTGCATCATATAGAGGCATGGAAATATCACCTTGACCAATGCAGCTGTAGTGTGGTAAATCTAAAAAAATGGAAGTATCTGCGACGGTGTCTAATAATTTAGTTGGGATGTATATGACTCGATTTATTTTGTGGCAAACTGCACTCTCGAATGTATTGTATTGTAACAATTTTGATAAGAGATGATGCAGTAGGGTGGCGGAACAGGTAGCATATGCCATGCGGCACTTTGTGATCTCTGACAGTACG